TCGATTTGAGACTAACGAGCCTCAAAACCCAAATAAGAATGCAAAAGAGTTTTACAAACTATTGAAATATGCATCTGATCCATTATATGATGGTTGCACTAGTCATACTAGAGTATCTGTAGTGGTTGAACTTTTATTTGTTAAGAGTCAGTATAATATTTTTGATGCATGTTATGAAAAAGTAGTTTCAATTGTTGAACGGATTGTGTCTGGTGATAACAATTTGCCAAAGAGCTTCTATCAGTCCAAAAAGATGATCCATGGATTGGGGCTACCATATTTCAAAAAAGATGCGTGTTAAAATAATTTCATGCTATTTGATGGGAATGATAAAGATCTCATGTACTGCAAAATTTGTGGTGTATGTATGTACGAAGAGGGTTCTATAGATCGGGGAGGTAAAAGGAAACCAATAAAAAAACTGTTGCGTTATCTACCAATAACAGAGCGGTTGAAGTGCATGTACATGTCATCTAAAACATCAGAATTTATGACTTGGCATATGAGAGGTGCTTCTGGTGGTGGTAGTACTATTTCACATCCTTGCCAATCAGAGGCATGGAAACACGTTAATCAAACATTTCCGGATTTTGCAATGGAGTCTAGAAATGTGCGTTTAGGTCAATGCATAGATGGATTCAATCCAAATTCTGATCAAACTTGGCGCCTTATTTTTGGGGATCTTGGTGATGGCTTGTAATTTTAGCACCATATTCACAATTAAAAATAAAATTAAATATCTTATTGAAATGGAACCTACCTATGCACCGAGTACCAACCTCACATTTCATTTGATCCTTTAATTTCTTCTTTACAAACTTCCAGCGCCTCCCCTCTACCTAGCTTCAGATTTGAGCCGATTGAGTGTGATACATCTCTGCGTTCTTTCTTAAAAAACGTTCCTGAATACAAGGCTTCTCACATGTCAAGAAAAGCTGACCCCACCTCACTAATCTCATTGTGGACAATTACTAGGTTGTGCTTTTCCTTTTATTTCTAGATATATGGTTTTATGTTTGTTCTTCATATGCTATGTGAAATTACTCATGGAATAACACCCCTTGTGCATTGTTCTTTTTATTACCTGCATAACCATTTTATTCAGATAATCTAGATGTGCATATTATGATTTATGATTGTTTTACATTGAAGAGTTACATAACAACGTGTTATTTAGCTAATAATATTGACAATGCTATTATTTATGTTTAATTGGGCTTACGTAATTGTTTCTATCGATAATATTGCTAGGGGAAGTAGTAAATTGCTGTTTTTTACTGTAAATAATAGGTGTGTGGAAGGAGATACTTTTACCAAGCTATTTTGTGTGTGAGTGGAAAATATGCTTGTTCTTGATAAGTGATAGGAGATATTATTGAAAGTCTTGTAATTGATGCTTTATATTCAACTTCAGGAATGGGTGATAGCGTTACTTAAGAGTGGAAGGCATAAACATAAGGCCATGAATTAATGGCATGTTTTCCTTGGTGATGACACTTACTAAATGAAACTCTACGATCAATAGGAAGTTATTCTCACTTTATTCTTTAATGATGTCCTGTTTTATTTTTTTGTTCATGGCAGTAAATTTCACAACCACTCACGTGCGATACATATATGGGTTCTATGTCACATGCTACCAACCGTGCCATTTGTGGTCGTTCTAATACCAATGTTCGTCCCAATAGTGTTAGTAGGGATTGTGCTAGGAGTTTAACTTTGGGGGAACAAACAGTTCGGTCGAATGGTGAATCACCCAACACTCTTACACTTGATGGAAGACCCTCATATGGGTCAAAATTTGATGGGCAACAACCCAACAACCCAATATAGTGTCATTTACTCAACCTCGCTCTATCGAACTGGGCCAACGCCTTCAAATCTCAATTGGGTAGTAAGTTTATATGTGCACACATTTCCATTTATTATGTGTATACAAAGCTTTTTCATGTGATTCTCTTTATCTAACACTACTATATTTTTTATCTTCATTAATTTTATTGCACTTATGTTATAGATTGAAAGTGAATGAAAGTGTGAAGAAGTCGTTAGAGACTACTGCTACAGATATGTTAATTGGTTGGCCAGCTAACTATATATGGGAATTTGGAACCTAAAAAAGTGAGGAATACATTTCACGCTTCTCGGTAATTGCACGGTTTTTCCCTTGCTGCAGTTAAGTGTATTATACTTATTCAAACTAACTTTCTCTGTAGCAAAAGTACACATGGGCTCCATCGGATATTGGAAAAATGATCTCCCACCTTCACTCACAATTTTCTAGTCGTTACCAGGCCCGTATGTCAAACGTTAGGGTCAATATCTTGCAAAATCATATTCATGATTTTGCTTAGTATCTTGATTATGGAAGATTTATTCCTTTTCTTCCACAACATGTTACCCCGGAGACATGGATATATAAATTTATGCAATTATCGGAATACTGGTGAATGGAACAAGAAGGATGTTTTTTTACTTGGACTGAAATTGTATGGTCTGGTCTGATCTGGTCTAAACTGGTCTGGCCTGGTAAAGTCTGGTTTATGTGTGTTTTAAAATTGTCCTAATCTGGTCTGGTCTGATCTAGTCTGGTCTGGGACTGAAAACAGTCCAAATAAAAACATCTGAAGTCAAAAGTTGGAAAGTGTAATCATGTTGGTACATTAATAACGGGCTATCTATGTAGATGGAAAGTGTTTATTAAACCGTAGAAGCTAGTTTACATTGTAACTATGTGTGTGTATAAAATGATGTCTATTTTGTGTAGTTAAAACAATTAACTTTCTTGCTACTTTGGATTTTTCTTGTAGGTAACCTTCGTGAAGGAGATCGTCCAGCAAATACAAAGGGGCGAAAGTCCAAGGAAGTGTTGTTTGCTGAAATTGTAATTAATTATTTACATACTTAGTTCAATGAATAATAACTATTTCTCTAATATATCTAATACCTAATCAACAAGTATGTAAAATTGCAGGAGATAGAAATCGGTCACAAACCCACATTTCTGGATTTTGCCGAAAAGTGGGTTGTAGGCTTGTAGCTGACACTAACACGAGTGAGCGAGTCCCAACATCATTTGCTGGATATATGGTATGATTGGTATAACGAAATATGTCATTGTCTTATTTTAAGAAGTATTTTTTGTAAATAAAAATATTTTTCTTTGGGGAAAGCAATTTGATTGTACAACTTATAAGTTAACACTATGTATATACAAAATTAATCTGATATATTTTATACCTTTGGGGTCATAAAATATAAGCCGACTTGTATAGTGTTTCATTTTTTTGGAAACTTTATCGACAACTATATATTTGTTTGCAACCTCCGTTATTGTAGGTAACATATCACCAACGAATGGAAAAAGTGTATGGACCGGATGGAACAAAACATCCTGCTTTTGATTCTCAAATGTGGAAAGAGATTACCGATAATCCAAGAAAGGGGCGTTGGGTCGCGTACCGGCCCAACAATCACATCCCGAACTATTTCAACCTTCTAAACCTGTTGAGGTAATTCTTAAATGATGCTTTACTTATTAAAAACTTCAAATTTTTATGATAATATTTGCCAACACTGTAGGATACATATAGACTCTTGGATGACCGGATTGTTGAGATGGAGGCTGAAATTGAGACGATGAGGGTAGGAATGGCAGAACTTAAAGCACAAAAAGAAACCATGAGGTTTGAAAACTACAGAACAACAAACAAGCTTCACCACTACTGATCGGTATTTTTCTTGCAAGTGCACAAGACCGATGTAGTAATAAATATAACCCAGAGTGAATCGAGATCAATCCACAGAGACACGTGAATTTTCAGCACTAAAAATACAAAAATGATTGGTTTGGGACTATTATATGATTTTAAAAAATAAATTCGTTGATTTTTCTGGTAAATAAGTGCAAATCAAATAGACATACACACAAAAGTTTTGAATTCAGAAACAAATAATAGCTAGGGGTTCTGGGTTCACCGCCATGATTATTCAACTGTTATCTTATCATTCAAGCATGAATGTATGAACACGGTACCACTAAGATATTCCTAATTCCAGTTACTAAAATAAGAAGTAGGCTTAATCTACTACGATCCCAATTACGCCTCACGTTAAAATAGACTAAACACTTTCAGCGCAAAAGTACTTTAATTGTGTCATAACAAACCATATATATGTCCATTCCGGTGATTATATGTTTATTCTCAATTCACATGAATCATGCTTCAACTATCATTCCTTCACATAATTCTGAAAAAATCTATTTATATGTTGGCCACACATAAAAATAGTCAAATACATTCAAAGGAATAAATCACACAATTCAAACTGAAATCAAAGTTTAAAGTATCAACATCATGTGGCTAATCCCCTACCCCTAGCTTGAGAGTTTAACCTCTAATAAACATAATCACATAAAAATAGTTGACTGAGTTCATGTTCAAAAGTGATAAAGAGAAATGATTAGAACCCTAACTTGCAGGACTTTGCACTTCTTCCTCCCGAATTGTGATGTGTGCGACCTCTCTCCCAGCATTCTCCTCCTCCTCCTCCTCCTGCTGCTCCTCCTCCTCCTCTTGCTGCTCCTCCTGCTTCTTCTCCTCCTCCTCCTCCTCCTCCTCTTCCTCCTCCTCCTCCTCCTCCTCCTCCTCCTCCTTCTTCTTCTTCTTCTGTGTTTCCTCTAATATATGGCTAGCGGCCCGACCAATCAGCCCGGCTAATAAAGAATCGGGTCCCATTTGGCTTTAACAATTGCACTGTTTGGATTCGGGATTTTTACATCAAAGCCTTGACCTTTCGTTTGAGTCGTGAGTATCCCATTTTTCCACCCTAAAAATATAGAAAATCATTTAAAGTACTCATGAATAAATATAATCAAAGAATTAAGCATAATAAAACATAAAACTTTCAATTATGATCAAGATAATAGACAAATCATATACTATTATGGGGTATAAAATGAGACTATCAACCGCCATTAGTAATATATGGGTCATTCTTATCAATATGAGTGTGGCCAGTCCAAACATGACTAATCATCAATTTCTTTCGGGTGAGTCATCATCTAATCAGTTCCCATCATCACTATTCGCACAACGGAAACACAACCCGTTGCACCCTTCAAAGTTCAGACAACATCAACAACCGGGATCATTTGGGCAACTTTTTGAAATGAATTACGCTCAAGTGCAATTATTATATGACCAGCCTTATCAATGAAATAGAAAGAGTCATGAATGGCTATTGGTGGAGAGGGAATGATTTCTCTGGGAGAGGGTTTGGGGTTTAAGCGACTTAAGGAGTTTAATATAGCTATGTTAGGAAAACAAGGTTGGAAGCTAATAAGGGATCCAAATTCCTTAGTAGGTCCAGTTCTAAAGGCTAAATACTTTCCCAGGAGTTGCTTTCTTGAGGCGAAATTAGGAAGTACGCCTTCCTTTGTCTGGCGAAGCTTACTAGCGGCCCAAGATGTGCTGGCAGCGGGATGTAGGCGAAGGGTGGGTAACGGCAGGTTTTGGAAAGAGGCTTGGCTTCCGGGGAAGGGGTCGGGCAAGTTGTGTTCAACCAAACCGCAGGGGATTGCAGATATGAACGTGGCATCTTTGTTAAATGAAGATGGGAAGAGCTGGAATATCCAGCGAGTTAACTCAATGTTTAACGAGGAAGAAACTCTATTAATTTGCAGTATTCTTCTAAGTTTTAATTCGGTTGAGGATGGGTTCCGATGGAGTGAAGATTCCAAAGGTCAGTATACAGTTCGTAGTTGTTACAGGAAGTTGGTAGGTGATTTTCAGCCAAATGGTTGGTTAGGGTGGACTGTAGCGTGGCAGCTTCATATTCCTCCTAAGGTGAAAATCTTTGTCTGACAGCTTGCAAATGAGTTACTGCCAATTGGGGAGTTTTTGAAAAGAAGGCATATCCAAGTGGTGGGGAGCTGTCCTATCTGCAGGATTGAGGATGAGTCTTTGTTTCATTTATTCTTGAAGTGCCAAGCAACTAAATCAATCTGGGAGGAAGCTGGTTTTTCTTCGTTGTTGCAGGTGGACTCCTTTGTTAATTGGCTAAAGCTGGTGTTTGATAAGTTAGCTAGTGATGGGATATGTAAAATTGTTATGCTCCTATGGAGCATTTGGAAGTCTAGAAATGAACTTGTGTGGAGTAATGAGACATTCTCTGCTACAGGTGTGCAGAGGGTAGCAACATCTCTTCTGTCAAGTTGGAGAGTTGCACATGAAGAGGGTAATTCCTTGGTGTATTCTCGGGCACGGCACGAGGATCTCAAGTGGAAGCGACCGGGGATAAACCAAGTCAAGATCAACGTCGATGCAGCTCATAACCCAAGGGATGGGTTGTGGTCGTGGGGTTGGGTCAGCCGGAATAGCGATGGCATTTTCATACAGGCACGCACCCGAGTTGTTAAGGCAAAATGGTCTCCGGAAGTAGCAGAGGCTTGGGGAGTGTGGGAAGCTATACGCTGGGCTTGTAGGAATTGGTGGACAAATTTGGTGATTGAGACAGATGCCTCGTTGATAATAGCTGGGATCCAAGGCGAGTCATATGCGGCCCAGATTGGGGTTATTTATGATGACATTAAGGTGTTATTGAGAGCAAATTCAGATATTCAAGTAAAGTGGTGTAGAAGAGTGGCGAATAAAGTAGCTCACACCTTTGCTCGTTATGCTAGTTATGCGAGTGTTAGTGACATTACTTTCGATTTGCCTCCTAATTATGTTGTAAGCCATTTGGCAAATGATTTGATTTTATAAGAAGAGACGTTTTCTTTCAAAAAAAAAATATGACCAGCCTTCTCCATTTGCTGTCACTGGCTGTCTGCAACCTCTGTCATCAATCCCACACATAGCAATAACGCGCCCTCAAGCTGGACCAACACACGTGACTCCTTTTGTTCCGGTCCGACAACTTCGAGATGACTCATCTAGCTCTCATGATGATGATAATGAAGAGTGAATGATGTGCAAGGAAATTGAACTTTAAAACATTGATGGATAATTAGTAGGCTGTTAAAGTGTTAAACTACACTATAATTTACTTTGTTGTGAATATATTTAAATGTAGTCCCTACTCACTAAATTATAATTTTGCTTTAGTAATATTATGACATTCGATTAGTACTTTTATTTAAAAGTACCGTACCATTGAAATTAGTAATTTATATATATTAAGTTTTATGAATTAAAATTTTTGCACCGATTAAATTTATTAGTTATTATGGATAATAATGGCATACAACATGATGCATAGCAGGATGCGATATAAGGGAATATGAGATGTTATTAATGCCTTATTATATAAGCGAAATATGAGTTTACAAATAAGAGATGAACCCATTGTTTATCCCTTGTCAAATGAGGCATTCATACATGTTGATGTGGATTGTAGAAGTGATATGATTGTTATTGCTCCCTTATCGCGTATAAGAGATTTGAGGCACTATATGAAATTATGAATAAAAAAGATTAAAAACTATAAGAGATGTTAAGACTGAAGAGACATGTCTTTAATTGATTCAACAACAATTGCGTTGTTTTGAAACTACAACTGGTCCTACTTAAAATTAATGTATATTCTTTTTTTAAACTTGACTTCGTTTAAGACTTTTTACTTATGTTCTATTTTTTCAAATTGTCAACAGAAATTATATATTAGGCCTAAATAATTGAACTTAAAAATAAAAAAGAAGTCTACTCAAACTATGCATGCACAAAAAAAATATTTGGGCCTATTTTTCTCTCTATCTTTTCGAGTCTGAGGAGGTCGTCCATGTTGCCCCCTAAAAGTTTTAGTCGGTAAAACCAACTCGTATCTTTAACAGAGGTGTCCAAAACTAGCATCTAAGTCTCGGGGTAAGGCTCCTTCGTAAAATATTTCTTAAATTGATGCATTATTACAAAATGTGATAATCATATAACATCTCTAAATATACAGTCGTACGTATAAATTTGCTCTTCTGAATTCTTATATGTAGTTAATTTCTTTCATACAAATACGTACATATTTTGTGAAATGATGAAACAAAGAAATTAATTATTTATACATAAAACCACCACTTGCAAAATATTAATAGCTTCATATCATGAGCTTTTCCACGACTACCAAAACGAAAGTAGAAATCAAATTGACAATAAACCCAAATAAATATGAAGTATCAATTGTCTACTTTTACCTTAAATCATGTTTATGTAATCACAAAACAACACTAAAGTTATTATTGTTCAGAAATAATACTCTTATTTTCAATCAGTCATAAATGACACTTAGTAGAAGTTTATATATATTGTTGTTATTCATGAAAGTAGATATGAATAAAAAATCACATTGTAATTGAATAAACATGCTATTTAATATATAATAAAAGTAATAATATTATACTAGAAAATCATCTATATTGAACTGAAAGTGGAACTAACACAAAAGTATATATTACAGTGTAAATAATTGATACGGAGTATATTATTATATAACTAAAAAGAAATAGGATTAACAAAATTTATAAATCAAACAAGAATGTAAATGATGTCGTATTATAGTACTGACCTGAATAGTTAAGTGAAAATTACGTATAATTCACAAGCTAATTAACTTTCTTCATTTTCCTTTTATTGTGATCCTCACATCTCTTTCTTGTCTCCGATCCATCTTCAACTACAAAAAAACATTGGCAAGGATTTTAGGCAGGGATTTCTCGAAATTGGTAGGGATTTTGACAGAGATATGCTAAATCCGTGCCAAAAACAATTTGGAACGGACTATTTGGCACGAAACCATCGATAAATCCGTACCAAATCTGTGCCAATCCCGTCATTTTTTTGTAGTGTTAAAATTTGCTAATTTCTCAGCAATTCTTTTATTCATGCACGACTTCTATCTTAGTTGGTCAACTTGGTTCGTATATGTACCATGTGTCCGTTCATCCCTATTTATTTGTTATTTTCCTTTAAATTGGTTTAAGATATATTCCCTCCGTCCCTTATAACTTCGTCAACTTTCCTTTTTGGTTGTCCCAAAATTTTTGTCACTTTCCATTTTAATCAATCGATTTGTGGCTTCTATTATTTCTCTCTCCTTTGCACAAATTTCTACCGCACAGTTTTTACTTTATTATTCTACGTGTCGGTCAAACATGACAAACCTTTCAGGGAAGGAGGGAGTATAATGTGTTGTCATTTGTTAGATGCCACATGTACAACATCATTCTACTTTTATTTTATTTTGTTTTCTTTAATTGCTTTAATCTATATTTGTTATACACACAAACATACACAGACACCTACGTGTACACATGTATATTTATCCTAGTTGGCTAAATGGCTGCAAAAACACCTCCTAGCTTCTTAATTTATTTGTACTTAAATTATATGTATAGAATAGGTGCGGCGATGTGTTTGTCTAATTGTTTGCATGGGTGAAACATCATGAAGTAAGTGTACTTAAAATTAAGGCTTGTAGTTGCACAGTGATTCACAAGACTATTTTTATAAACAAATGTAAATTTAGAGCCATAGCTACCTAGATGAGTAACATATTTTGCATAAGTTAGGACCTATAAGCTCTTATTTTGAAAAACATAAGACTAAAGGTTAAGGGAGTTTGATCATGTTACAACTCCAAGAAAATTAGGGGTCATAATAATACTCTCTATACGAAGTGCGTTCCATTTTGTGAAAATAAATTTACACCGTTACATTTTTTTCTGCTTAACATAAATCTTATCTTTAAAATTTACATCGAGTCAAATCTGGTTAACTATTTTTGTTACTATTATTTTAATATAAATTTAAATCACGTTGTAGTAACGTAACTTTATACCGTACCGGTTAGGCAGATATTTGGGATGTTACACTGGTTCAGAATAATATCCACAATCACGTTCAAAAGATCTTCCATAATTGGCAAGTGATGACAATGTACACCGGTATCGGATGGAAATGATGCCTAATGAGCCACCTCAAACAATTGTCTAGTACGAAAATCATTTATAAACAAACGACATACCCTTGGGCCCTACAAATTAATTTAGAATAATACCCAAACTAAAGTTTAACAAATTATTCACTCTACGAAATATTACACTACTTTACTTTTATTTTCACCTAAAAACTATCATCACTTTTTCTGAATAAAACATGAATAAAACATGTCATGGTTTGATATAATTTCGATTTCATGAAATAAGTTTTAATCAAACAATTTAATGTTAAGATAAGTAATTGGCGAGGAAGCGGTCATCGTCTAGGCTCGTCCTAGTTGGTTTCTCCGGCCGATAGTCATATCGAGTCCGGCAAATTGGTTCGGCAGCATAGCCGATTTCTGGATTCAAGTGAAGATCGAGTTCGACAATTCTGCTTAGTAACGAAGGAGTGCAGTCCATCTAGGGTTTTGAGAAGTGGCAGCCATTTTCCTAGGTTTTCCCTGGCGATTTTTTCGGCGGTGTTCTTCTGGGGCACGACGCCCGGCTCTGTTTCATCCGTATTATTATGAGTTTAATTAGCTGGAACTGTAGGGGAATGGGGAATGCGACAACGGTGCAAGGTTTGGCCGATCTTGTACAAGGGCATCGCCCAACGATTCTCTTTTTGATGGAAACAAAGATTGATAGCCGGCGAGCGAGAGAACTGCTACGGTGCCAGGGATTCCAGGGAGTTGATAGCATCGGAAGTAGTGGCGGGATTGCCCTGGGATGGAATGAAGAGCTCGTAGTGTCAATCACAGTCGTGCATCAGAACTATGTGGACTGTATTATTAAGCAATCGGAGGAGGAGCCAGGCTGGAGACTAACATGTTACTATGCGCTTCCAGAAACGAGGCGGCGGAGGGAAACGTGGAAGATGCTTCAGGGGCTAGCAGAAAACAACAATTTACCTTGGATGATCATAGGCGATTTCAATGATATTCTTTATGAAACGGAGAAGAAGGGTCATATGCCCCACCCTCCTTGGAGATTGAGAGGTTTTCGGGATGCTGTGGCGAGTAGCGGACTAAGGGATTTCCCGTTTGAGGGGTATCAGTGGACTTGGGATCGGGGAAAGGGAACTCGGTATTAGGTGGAGGAAAAGCTAGAAAGAATCCTGGTTAATGATGATTGGTGGAATAATTTTTCGGCCGCTCAGGCCTGTTCTTTAGAGGCACCAACAAGTGACCATATGGCCCTTTGGGTAAAATTCAATCCCACTGTTCATAGAAGAAAACAAAGAAGATTTAAATTTGAGAATGTGTGGCAAAAAGAGGAGGAGTGTCGTACGGTGGTAGCTAACAGCTGGAATGCGGGTTCACAGTTAACGGTAAATGAAAAAATTATTTCCTGTGGACAGGAACTCATGCGGTGGGACAAGCGTAGGCCGAAGGGTTTTCGTAACCAAATTAATGCGTATAAGAGCAGATTAGCCCGGTTGTGTGGCCATGATGACGAGGAGAGCACGAAGGAATTCATCCGGGTGCGCACGATTATTCAATCGTTGATGGAGAAAGAGAATTTATACTGACGGCAACGCGCCAAGGTTTTCGGGCTGAAAGAGGGTGATATAAATTCAAGTTTTTTCCATAATGCTGTTAAACAGAGAAGGAGAAGAAATAAATTGCAGGGGCTACGAGCAATGGATGGTTCGTGGATCACGGACAGAGGTAAGATGGCGGATATGGTCAAAAACTATTTTGAATCTATTTTCCAGGAAGTAGCAGAAAGACAGGAGGGTCTGATCATGGGATCATTTAATCGGGTGTCGGCTGATCAGAATATCAAGCTGACTAGGGCTATCAGTCCGGAAGAGGTGAAAGCAGCCATTTTTGACATGCATCCGGAGAAGGCTCCAGGGGCAGACGGTATGAATCCGGCGTTCTTTCAACGATTCTGGGATATAGTGGGGCCAGAGGTGTCTCGTCTGTGCTCAGGTATTTTTGAAACAGGGATGCTCCCAAATGAATTAAATGTAACCAACATTGTTTGAATTCCAAAGAAAGATAAGCCTGACAACATGGGTGATTGGAGACCAATTGCTTTGTGCAATGTGGTGTATAAGATTTTTTCTAAAGTACTTGCGAACCGGCTGAAAGAAATTTTGGGGGGTCTGGTGGATGAAAGTCAGAGTGCGTTTATTCCGGGTAGATCTATTGTTGATAATA